CCATCCTGTTGTCCCGTGCGTTCTTATTCCAGTAACAACTCTGAATTCATTCTCATAAGACGTCTTTAAGAGGTTACGATGAAACCACTGAGCTGAGGATTTAATTCATTAATTGATCTCTTTTACGGATGTTCCGGATCTTCTGAGGACCACCCCATGGTACCCAGCGTCAATTTTCTGGTCACAACTCCGAATTCATTCTGATAAGCTGACTATGAGTGGTGGATAACAAAAACACGGAGCTCTAGGATCAATTTTAAATTTTACGGATGTTCCGATCTTCCACAGAACCCGACTTGTGACCTACAGGAAACTGACTCTTCCCAAAAGGTGGCCAGCTTTCTGCTTAACAACTTCTCCAAAGAGATCGAGATGTTATCTCTTTAAATTGCCGTACAATCTGTGTTCAGTGTTCCAATTAGCTCAAATCCCATATGGTACGTGTATTCGTTAATGCCGGATCTACCGTATTATAGGAATCCAGTGGCAACAGTACTATAGGAATCCGGCAAGAACGAATCCGTACTATAGGAGTCTTGACTGTACTTACCTTACCTTACCAATCAGCTGAAGTAACTATTTTGGTTTTATGAGGGTTCTGTAAACCATGATTTAGACTTGTAGAATGCTATAAAACCACGATAAAACCTGCAATGTTACTTGGGAGCAGAGTTGGCAGTTTGGTCAGTGACGTTTGACGAAAACGAAAAATAAATTGTCGTGGTACAAAAACCATCATTTCCATACAGAGAAATGAAGAGAAGCCGACAGTAATCTCTTTGAACAAATCCTATCGCATCTTTTACCTTCACTTCTCTTTTTTGTATCATGCATGGACAAAAAGAAGTAAATACCGTCGAACCAGGCTAGTAACCACACTATGAGCGCTTCTTGTTTTCCTTTAGCCTTTCCATTCTCCTAAGCGTTGATAGACCAGTGGTAAAGACACAAGTCTGTTAATCTCAACGTTAGTGGTTCGAATCCGTTTTGTACCCATTTTAAGTTTTTTGTGTTGCTTCCAACGATCATCATTTTTTTTGTAAAACAATACGGAACGGCTGACTAAAACGTGCAGTTTTTAATCCTCTCCGAGTAACCGACAGATCTAACACGGTAAGAAAAAGTGCCCAAAATTGAGTTCCTTTCACTCATCTCGTGGCTTCCGTGGGGCTAGGTAAAATTAAGTTAAAGAAGAAAACTCAATTTTGAGTAATCCTGATCATGAATCCACGTTGACCAAATAATAAGACGGAGCAGACTGGAACCGAACCATGGACGTTGAGATTACGGGGCCCGTGTGTTGACCACTCGTCTATCAACGCTTGTGAAAATTAAATGGTTAAAGGCGCATAAGAGCAACCTCAATGAAAATAAACTTATGTTTGAGTTTATTTATTATTACTCAATAGTTGAGTAAATTTTAATCAACGCCGCTTTTCTGATTCACTCAACGGCGGACCTTAAATGATAGAACCCAACGTTGAGTTTTTTAAACTTAATTTTGAGTATTTTTTTCTTACCGTGAAGAGAGAGAGAACGTACTGAGCTAGTTTTTTTTTCACGACGTAAATGAAAGAGGACTGTCTTCATACGGAATTTGTCATGCGCTGCTTGAAGTGCGACGAAGATAGTAATACAATATTTTTCATCACTGACTTTGCTCTCTCTTCGTTGATGCAAGACAGCTCTGCTCGGGAGTCTAAGGCCCTGATGTCCTCTGCTGTCCGAAGTCACTTTACTAGATCCATGACCACGCGTCGCTAACCTCGTATTCTGTGAAAGGTCCGCAGGTCGTCTTCTACTTGGTCGATCCACCTATCCCGCTGCATGCCTCTTCTTCTTGTTCCTATTGGGTCACTTTCGAGAACTATTTTCACTGAATCCTCGTCAGACATTCTTGCGACGTGCCAAACCAACCGTAGTCGCCCATTTTTTTTATAGTGTGGACGATAGATGGTTCTCCCAGCAGCTGGTTCATTTCGTGGTTCATTCATCTCCTCCACGTTCCGTCATCCATCTGCACTCCACCGTAGGTGGTACGCAACACCTTCCGTTCAAAAACACCAAGGCCGCGTTGGTCCTCCACGAGCTTAGTCCAGGTTTCGTGGCCGTAGAGGACCACCGGTCTAATGAGGGTCTTGTAGATAGTCATCATAACAATTATTATTACTGGGGATGCGAAGACATGAAAGCAATCTGACCATTAGTTTCAGCCTTTTGTATATTCAGCCTTATGTTTGTCGCATATACTTTTCAGCCTTACGAGTTTCAGCCTGTTACCGGTCAATCACCTCTAACAATGGCTTTTAAGCCGATTGGATTGTACAGCTTTGCAATACACAAAATTTAATTTATAGGAAGCTAGATTTCTACTTAATTGTTTGCCATAGGAAGGCTCAACATTACTTAAATACCCATATTTGCATTATATACATACATAGATACCTATATTCAAACCACTTTTGTTCATTTGTGTTTAACATAAAATCTTTCACCTATTTAATTCGTTACCCAGCCCCATATTAAGTTGATGTAAAGCTTTGCATGTAGCTAGATGTTATCGAAAACCAACAAACGGAAAAAAATATCATTGGACCAATCTTAACCGCGCTTGCGTAATTTGTCCAATGATCATTGATGTAAATAAATAAAACAAGACGGCAAAGTTCCGCACTAAAATTATTACAACAATATATATACTAATAAGCCCACCGTGTGCAAATTACGTGCACCCTTCACATCTCCGATGGAGAGAAATGGGATACGTTTTCCCATTTCCGGAAGCCAACCGGCGAAAGAGAGAGAGAAAGAGAGTTGAGAGGGAGAGTTCGTAAAGGAGAGGATGGGATGAAAGAAATGTTGAGGATCAGCGAAGAGCAGAGTGTACGGAACTATGACCGAAGACGGACGTACGCGGAGATCGTCGCAAAAAGTGATTTTGGATACCCTTATCGAAGCCATCTTGGAAGAAAATTTTACCGTTCGTACACGCGGTGAATCTTAATAATCCCACTAAGGACCGATACGTTTCGTGGAGTGTGTGGTGATTTGCACGGTGCGCGAGTGAGACTCTGGTTAAACCAGCGAAGACAAGTGTCACGGTTTGGCACGTTTCTCGGTGTCATCTACACGCCATATCACGGCCTCCTCGGTCGGGAGACGGGTATCTTCAGAGCCTTGGTGGTCACCAGATTGCCCGTTCTAACCCGGTAACGCCGTCGCTCGAGATTTTGCCCGCTCGTTGAGGAAAGTCGGCTATTGAAGAGCTAGAATTCGGAAGTCAACGTGGGACAATCAGAAGATTCTCTGTGAACCGCCCTTGTCGGTCAGACAACGGAGCCACGTGGGAATAGTGAAGATCGTCGTTTGCCGAAGTGAACGCTAGTGTGCTAGGAGGTCCAGATTGTATCACGTGAGTCACGAAAGCCCGAACTAATCCCCGTTCGGCCCTGAGAAAGCGCCAAAGGGCCCTTAACACACGGACGTAATCCCCATCCTGGGTGCAGGTAGCTGCCGAGACCCCTACGCTATTTCGGTCGGCTACACACGGTTGTGGAGCGGAGAAGCGGACACTAGGGAGGTGTCAGCTTGGTGAGGTCCGGCGGGTCCGCCCCCGCTTGCCAGTGCATGATGCCGATGTGCTTCTCCCTCTTCCGTGAGCATCCCACCATCGAGTAACCAGCAATAGGTATGTCGCTAGAAGAACTCTCTCTCTCTCGCTACATTTGCATGACGTCAACGGGAGCTGAACGGCCGCATCGTTTCCTTTACCCTATGTCCCCTCCTTTCCCTTCCTTCATGTATATTTAAATAAAACAAAAAAAGATAAAATGAATGTGAACGTCTCCTTATTTCTAAATTTCTGAGCCCTAGGTGCATGAAAGTCGGTTTCCAGTTATTGTTCGTTTTGTGATTGATCCACCTTGTCCCCCGACGAGTCTACCGATAGTACGTGGGTAGCCGGCCAGAGGTTAAGAGAGTGTTGAGCTAGCCGTTTCTTTCAAGCCTTCCGTTGCAAATCCCCGAGACCATATCCGGATGTGGCCAACGGGGTCCTGGGCACTCAATGTGGCCACTGCTTTCGAATTCACATGTGATTTGAGGTTTCGCATGACGTGATTGGCACGTTTCAGATCACTTCTAGTATTAAGGCCCGTTTTTAACGGAACATGTTCCTGCCATATCTCTGGAAACAGTTGACCCATTTGAAATCAAAAAATGCTGCGTTTTGGACCATAATACCTTTAATTTGTTTGTGTTTTTGCTTCCGATTCGGTGAAGTGGTTACCGAGAACACTGAGATGCAACATTTCGATACATACCTACACTCACACACAGACATTTTTCGATCCCATCGAGCTGAGTCGATTGTTACATTCCACTTGGCCCTCCAGACCTCAGATCGAAAGTCGGTTTTCCAAGCGGTATATACATATATTCCAAAGTCCCTGAAATTTTACGAAGTGAAGTTTAATAAAATCGCTGAATTTCAACGATGTTCCCAGATATTCTACAAATTTCGCTAAAATTTTTTCAACGCATGATGAAGTTTAACAAAGTTCTCTGAACTTCTTCAAGACTTGCTCGAAGCTCTAAGAAGTTCACGGAAGCTCTATGAAGTTCGCTGAGTTATACAATTTGATACACTCCTAGAAAAACTCCAGAACTTCTACGAAGTTTCAAAAAAAAATACGAAGTTTCCTCATGATCTATGAAGTTCTACAGCGTAACCTGAGCATAATTTCATTAGTCTACGACTAAAAAAGGTGGATAAGTTGTTGATTCAAAATACCTTCAAACATGCCTATTTTCTATCATTATATAAGATTAACAGAACTAAGTCTGTACAAGTTCTAAATAAATGTTCATACTTTTGAATTTCCCACAGATTTATAAACCCTTACTGAACAGTTCCGCAAAACAAAAACCCAGTAAAACCTTCCTGACTGAATTAGTGTGTATAAACCACATCAATAATGTTCCTTCTTTATGAATTACAGGTTGCAGTTTGTATCAAGACGGCAATCTGCGACATCACCGTTGACTGTGACGAGGCAGAAGATGAAACTCTCAACTGTGGTGAGTATCATAATCATAAATATCTACGAACTCTTAATTCGCATTCGGTAACATCTCAATCTCCCATCCAGACAAAATTCCATTCGGAGGCCGCTGTGATTTTGAAACGGGCTGGTGTGGATGGCAAAACTACGGCAATGCTATCCTTTCGTGGGCCCGCCACTCGGGTCCTACGCCAACCGACAAGACTGGACCGGAATCCGATCATACCCACTGGGAGAATACTACTGGTAGAGTCAACGTTCTCTTGAAATATCCCAAAGACTTTCTTTAACGATTTCTAAACTTTTCAGGATACTACATGTTCGTCAACATGAACCAACATGCCAACGATAGCGAGAAGAAAGCACTGGTAGGCTTAGCTAGCAACGCAATCATGAACAGCGTCATCTTCAACCCACCTCCTCTAGTGCACACGAATATTTCCTCGCCGTTTCGGAACTCTTGTGTGGTGAGTCGGACTGTTTGAGTCCCATCCTTACGAGAAATCGTATTCTAAACATTTGTGCTTTCGTTCGAAATCAGGTCCGCTTTTACGTCCATCAGTTCGGTATGAACTCAGGAAGTATCAACCTCTCCAGTGTCGAAATCAAAGAGAAGGAAAATGTGACCACCACTCTGTGGTGGAGTTCGAAGAATCTCGGCGATGTATGGATGAGGGTGGACATAGTTCTGCCGAACATCACTACCAAGTGCGGCTAATGAGTAGTGATTGACGTGAAAGAATCTTTCTGATCATCAATTTTTTGTTTTAGATATTACCTACAGTTTGAAGCTCGCATGGGTATGCGAATCTACTCGGACGTTGCCATCGATGACTTTTCACTAAGTCCGGAATGCTTCGGGCTCAACATACCGGCCGAAGACCTACAGGGGTACAACTACTGGGATCCACGAATCGGAGGGGTCAAACAACCTCATAAAGACTTTGTCGGGAAGTCCTGTAAGTATTGAGCATTATATGAATTGGGGGATGAGCCTTGTATTCTAATCTAACTCGTTCACAGATATTGAACTGAATACGTGTGGAGCCAATGGGCAGCATGGTCCAACTCCGGCCGATTGTTTGGCTTCCTACAACAATACTGAAGCATTGAATGCTATCCACGTGATTGACAGCCTTCCGTTCAAGGGAATCCAGGCTTGGAAGGTGCCGAACGAGGGGTACTACACGTAAGTTTTCATGAAAGCAAGTTCGGGGAAGAAGCCTAGAATACCGTTTCTAATTTAATTGCAGGATCATTGCAAAGGGTGCCGGAGGAGGTCTAGGCTCGGGCGGAGTTGGGTCATCCCGGGGTGCGATGGTGTTGAGTGTGCTGGAGCTGCACAAGGATGAAGAAATCTACATTTTGGTGGGGCAGAGCGGAGAGCATGCTTGCATCAAATCGATTGGACTGCAGGATGAAAGTTGCGAGACGAAGAACAAACAATTCGCGAGCGATCATTTCTTCTCCAAAACGCAGCAAGTGAAGAATACGGTGATTGAGGACGGTGCCGGTGGAGGTGGAGGAGGAACCTATGTGTTTTTGGTAGGTGTATGTATGTTATTCATAAAATTGAACCTAAATTAATAAATACCTTTATGGTTGCAGCTCAACTCCGCCAACACTGCCGTACCATTGTTGGTAGCTGGTGGAGGTGGTGGCCTTGGCGTAGGTCGCTACCTGGACGAAGACATACAACATGGTAAAAGGTTCATTCCTGGGAAGAAGGACGTATCTGGTACGGCTCATTCGGATGCGGCACGCCATTCTGGCCCAGGAGGAGGTTGGCGAGCGCAAGCAGACATGGCATTGGAGGCCACCTACGGAGCTTCGTTGTTGGAAGGTGGTCGTGGAGGGATATCTTGCTATCCCCCACGAGGAACCCACGGGCAAGGTGGTTTCGGTGGAGGTGGAGGGGGATGCGATACCGGTGGTGGTGGAGGAGGTTTTTCCGGGGGAGATACAATGATCAACTCTACCAACGGACAGGGCGGTAGCTCGTTCCTGGCTTCCAAAAGGAACGTCCCGGAGCTGTCTATCGAACATTCTGGGGCAAACAGTGGTCACGGCTCGGTGCTGATTATACCGGCCATTCAGGGCTGTGGATGCGATTACCGATGTGTGGCGCTCGATGAATACCGTTCCATGGTTGGATGTATCTGTCCGGATGGGTGGACGCTTAAACCTGATAACTATACTGCTTGTGAATGTGAGTTGAGCCGAAGGATCTAATTTTCTGGAAATTCGTTGTAATTGTCTGTTTTCTTCTTTACAGTACACACTGAAACTCTAGAAATGAAGTACCTAATCATGTTCTTTGTCGTCGTTGTGATAATTTTATGTGCAGCACTGGCTAGTCTAATACTCATTTTATGTAAGTACCGCCCTTGTCTCGACTGCCATCGAAACGGGTCCTCATAGCATCACTTCCTCCCCTCAGATAACCGCTATCAACGTAAACGTCAAGCCGCCCTTCGGCACAAGATGCTCCTCGAGCAGGATCTGCAGCTGAGTCGGCTACGCAGCACCGCGGACGATACGGGACTGACCAACTTCAATCCTAACTACGGTTGTGATGGCATTCTAAATGGAAACGTCGATGTCAAGAGCTTGCCCCAGGTGGCACGTGAGAGCTTGCGGCTGGTTAAGTGAGTTGTCTGCAGTAGCCAGAGGGAGGTCTCATCGACAATCGATTGATTTATATTTTCAGGGCCCTCGGACAGGGAGCATTCGGAGAGGTCTACCAAGGGCTGTATCGACACCGAGATGGAGATGCGGTCGAGATGCCAGTGGCGGTAAAAACCCTCCCGGAAATGTCAACCGGGCAGGCAGAGTCAGATTTCCTCATGGAGGCGGCCATCATGGCTAAGTTCAACCATCCAAACATCGTTCACCTGATAGGTGTCTGCTTCGATCGACACCCGAGGTTCGTTATCTAACTGCAAACTACAATGGTTTCGTTTTGATTACTAATCGATCTCCTCGTCGTAGATTCATCGTACTGGAGTTGCTTGCTGGTGGCGATCTCAAGAACTTCCTTCGGGAAGGTCGAAACAAACCTGTAAGAACCATACTCATGAGTGCCTGTAGGAGAACTGATTTCAATAACGGTTTATTTTTCTACCCCGCAGGAACGTCCATCTGCTCTCACGATGAAGGATCTGATCTTCTGCGCCCTTGATGTGGCCAAGGGCTGCCGTTATATGGAAAGCAAACGCTTCATCCATCGTGATATTGCCGCTAGGAATTGTCTGCTCAGCAGTAAGGGTCCCGGCCGGGTCGTCAAGATTGCCGACTTTGGAATGGCTCGTGACATCTACCGGTCCGATTACTACCGGAAAGGTGGCAAAGCGATGCTACCGATCAAGTGGATGCCTCCGGAAGCTTTCCTGGATGGTATCTTCACCTCAAAGACTGATGTATGGTCGTTCGGTGTGCTACTGTGGGAGGTCTTCAGTTTGGGTCTGATGCCGTACACCGGACTTCCGAACCGTGATGTGATGCAACTAGTCACCGGCGGAGGTCGGCTCGATGCACCTCCAGGCTGTCCGATTGCCATCTACCGCATAATGGCTGACTGCTGGAACCCTACACCGGAGGAGCGACCCACGTTCTCAAACCTTCTGGAACGACTGACGACCAGTACCCAGGACCCGGAGGTGATGAACGCTCCACTACCAAGCTTCTTCCGGCAACCATCTAACGAACGAGACACGACTATAATGCGACCACCCGGAAACGATGATTTCTGTCTACAGGTGCCAAACTCGTCCGATTACCTTATACCACTTCCGGGACCGCGAAGCGTAGCTGAACGGTTACTCAGTGAGGCGACTGGTATAACCATTTCGGACGCCATGGTCACTTGCACTGCTCCGAAGATTGCTTCGCCGAGGATTATGAATGGTCCTCAGTCACAACCCCAGGAGGGTAAATGTTGGGAAACTTCCTTCATCCGGGAGCACCCAACTGTAGTGACTTCGGCTGCTACAATGACAACCCAGGATCCTATCATGTTGGTCAACGAAAACGGACCTCTGGAGGTTCCTTGTCCAGTGGTAAGTTTTTATTACTGTCCTCCGTAGCAATCACTAACTTCTTCCCAAAATTTCAGGTCGATAAACTGATATCCCTGGACACTCCGCAGCAGACACCAACCAGTATACAACCGCCCATTTCGTTCAGCACACCGATGACAAACCCACACGGACCCTTGAATGGAATGGTAACACACTGCAACGGATTAAACATGACCCCGAATGGTAATGGCGTGATGTCATCGCAATCGTCGGTGGATCAGATCGAAACGGCCAAGCTGCTCAACAGTATACCGCCGCCGATAACGTTGGATCCGTCGACGTTGAACAAGCAGCAGACGGGCGTAGGAGGTACCTCGTATGCCAACATTCGGATGATCAATGCGAATGCTCTGAGCAACGGGGACATCGGGGAGAAGCTTGCCGGAGGAAGGGGCAATGGAGGCGGAGTAGGTGTTATTGGTGGTGCCAATCACCATCACAGTAATAGTAGCGGAAGTGACAAGAGCGACAACCGGCCGTCGGCCTTCACCATCCAGACGTTCAGCGATCGGTACATCAACAATGAGAACCACTCGGAGATCAGTTGCTAAGGTGGCGGCTGAGATTGTTAAATGAATGTAAGCGCACGGGGAAGGCAAAGTGTTTCTGGGACGTTCAGTTGCCTGGAAAGTTGGCGAATAGTGGTGACTGGATATCGTTAAGTCGTCAAACTCTCGTATTTTGGATCTTGCTTTAATTGAGTTCAAATAATCGCTTGGTAATTGCTAAAGTTCCCATTTACTTACCCTAGAAGTCGTGCACTTTCTCTGTATGCCCTTTGGAAAAATCCTCAATGTCCTGAACATTGTTCTGGACTATCCTCGAAAGATCTGTGGATCTGCCAAAGTTGACAGTTTGTCTTGCGAACGAATCGTCAAATGAATGCCAAATTTTATTGGGCTTGAGATCTCTTTTGTTAGTCTCCTGAAACATTCTCGAGGCATTGTCGGCAAGATTGATTTCGCGATATCGGGATCAGTGATGGCATTACCATTTGATAAATGATAATTTTTTGCTCTCATACGCTCTTAATATCACACTTGATATTTTGGATCAAAATGTTATGTTTGATATTGATTTTACAAGCTCCTTTGATACTGCGAGACTACTTATCACATGTGAAATAGCAGCTGAGAGTTGACTCGACGCAACATTGATTCCGTTGCACATCGTTTTTTTTTAAAGAGATACAAAAGTCCGGAGAACTTTAAGATTTGGGCGTAATTGCTTTTGTAAACAAACATGTGAATCGCTGATTTCTCGCGAATAAAAGAACAATCTCGTGAACAAACTGTCCCAAATGAAAGAGGAACTATTCATCTACCTGATTGTGTTGTTAGTTTTTTAGATTGAGCTTTAATTCGCGAGAAATCGTCAAATGAAGTGTTTGTTTACAAAAGCAATTACGCCTTAATCTTGAAGTTCTTAGGAAGTGTGCTCTTCTGCCATGCCAGACTCCACAGTTTAGTGATAATCGTAGCTGTTGCGTTTTCTTAGCTTGACATTTGGAGCAACGATATCACAGCTTGTAATGCTTACATTGGAGAGATTGAGAGTTGATTGTATGGTATTATTTATTTCTCAACACTGTACTGTTTGTACGGAAGATAAACATTTTTCGAACAGTGTCTTACGGGAATCGGTCCGGAAAACTTTGTGGACGTGTTCAATCGTCTGGAGGATTTCTGGAGAACGTCCGAAGCCCTCTGCAGCTAGCTTTAGCGCACTTTTTTGGCTAAGTAACTTGCAAGACAAATCCAAAATATGTTGGCTGCCAGGTAGGGAAGCTTTCAAGCTACTTGGAAGTGGGTCTACGGAACTTTGAGCCTCGTACTCCTCTGGGAAAAAGTCTCCTAGAAATTCCTTGAAGTCCAATGCACAGTTATCCAGGATGGCATCTTTTAGATTCGTTGCATAATGTGACACATAATTTATCCTTAAAGTCCCTGGCAGTTCTCCACGATGGCCGATTTAATTCTATTGATTAAATGGCAAATTCGACGATTTGGAGATTGCAGAAGACTTCCAAGGGAAATTCCGGATATCGAAGATATGTTGAATTCTGTGCCTCGATCGGAGTCTAGCCTAGAATCTTTTGGAGTGTTCAGTGAATTCAGGTGACGGGTCTGATGAGTTTCTGTATTTAGAAAATGTATTTGGTTTCAAGATCGCTACAAATTATTAATGTATGCTCCATAATTAAGATAATTTTATGAAGTCCAAAATTTGAAATATTCTTGGAAGTCTCAGAATTGTGAAATGTATCTAAGTTACACATACTTTATTAATAAAACACTGGGCCACATTGATAGATTGAGCTTGGAAATTATTTTCAAAAACAATAAAATCTACGAAAATTTGAATACTCGCCTAAAATTTTGTTGCATGTCAACATTATTAATATTATGAGCCTAGGCCAGTTCTTTGCGTTTTTGAACCTTGCAAGACATTGTACTTTAAATATTGCGTATTTCACTGATTTCAGATTTAAAAAAATCATGGCTGTTGAACATGGATAACATTTTAGGATTCAACACTATGAAGCATTCGCTTTGGCTAGAGAATTATTATAAAAACTACAATGGACAGCCCTATGGGGTTGTAAGCAATGGTGACGTAGGACTACGTGCTCTTATATAATAAATGTTATTTGTTAACTGCATCAGGAGCTTGTGTTTTGCATAGGACTAGGAATTTGAGCGGGTTCTCTCTGTTTATTCTCTTTAGTATGACGCGCTTGGCATAGATGGCCCACAACGACTCACGAAGAGCTACTTATTCCGATCAATAGTGGTGCGACTTCTTTCTCCTTTTATGGATGCTCATGTGGGCTGCAGCTCGCTGCTTGCAGGCAACCTTTCGTTGTGTACTGGAGAACATCACCACTCACCACGTAGTGATTGAATAAACACCATTTGGTGAGACCGGATGAAATTCAACTTTGAAATCTGTGTTAGGGAAATCGCTTTTCGCAGGCAATCGGTGCTAGTTTTAATTATCATAGCAACAGTTGTACATTCGTGAAATTTTCAAAAATGACATTTTGAAAAATGATAAAGTATCAAATTATTAAAATTGGTCCAGGGGCAGCTGAGTTATTAACGTTCAAAATCTTTCATGATTTTGTTACATGTTCCATTTTCGGTTTTCACAAAGTGTTCCCCCATATAGAAATTGCTGCCGTAATCCTACGTCAAAATGCCAAATGAGTTTTGAGGTTAATTCTAAACGAACTCTAGGGAGAATTCCAATGGAAATTAACTAGAAATTTCAGGTAGCTTTGAGAAGTATCTCGTGATTATTGTAAGGCGAAGTATATCCCAAGCAACATTACAAGTTTTATCAAGGTTTCAAAACACTCTTCCAGTATAAATCATGCTCGCTCCACATAATCTCATAAAACCAAAATCGTTGCCTGGGAAGGCGAGTTTTAATGTTAATAATTCCAGGGAACTCTTAAGCAACTCGAAAGAAGTTTCATGGAGCATTCCAAGGAAATTTGCAGCCCCTTTCCTTCAAAGTGAATTAACACTACGAGGAAACTTGACAACACAACAACAATCCTGAAACTACGCCTGATCAACTAATCAATCACGCCGGCGCCGGTGGTGTAGTGGTAAGCGTGACTGGTTACAAACAACCCAATGGGTCTGGGTTCAATCCCAGCCGAGGTCGGTGGGATTTTTCTGAGGCATAAAAATCTCTGGTCACGTCTTCCTTCGGAAGGGAAGTAAAGCCGTTGGTCCCGGCCCATGTGTGTTGAATGGGTGCGATATCCTACGCAGGTGTTTACGCAGAATTCCTAAGATAATTATATGATTATATGAATTTTGAGGGAATTCCAAGGAGTTTCCAGGAGGGTTTGGCAAGAAATTTTGAGCATTTTTCCATAGAATATATGAGTAGTGCTCCAAGAGGATTAGAAGACATTTGCATGGGATTACTAAGGCGAGTTTCAAAAAATTCCAATATTATTCCAAGATGCGCATTTTGAGACGAATTAAGAATAACGAATACCCCAGTCACCCATGTACACAGGCCATCCTCTCGAGTGACCCACCTGGCACTACTGTCTCCTGGCTACCCGTCCACTGCGGAATCCTCGCTGATCACTTCGCTGCCTGCGGTAGATATTTGTCCTTATACAAGCGTAAAGTCCCTGGCCTAGACCCAGAGCGGTGAGACAGTTTTACTCTGAGTTACTTTTTTTTGCGGCGAGTAACTCGCAAGTAACTCAATGTAGGGTGGAGCACTAGTTCGTCGAAAACCAACGGTTAATGGGTTATGGAGAAATTTCCAGAGGTAGACGACATAAACTTCTGGTAGAGTTCTATAGATACATCTGGTAGAAGGTTTGAAACTAATGTTCTGCCCGACAACAACTCAGCAGCACGAGACCCCTTGAACTGTGTCCCAGAGTCGGCGCACTACTGGGCAAACTGAAGGGGCTACGCGGATGAAAAGGCACTCAAGCTTTCAATTAAACTGAAATACAACGCGGATCAATTTAAACACTGTATTTCTCCAATTACCGATAGTGTGGATTGTGTGGTGTTGTGTTCGATTTTCTTGGCACATACCCTTGATGACGATGGCGACTATGACGACTGCAGACCAGCGAGCGCTCGCTGTGGTTCCGGAAAGATCCTTAAAGGCCGATCTTGTCGGCAAGATGGTAGTACCACCGCTCGGTGAAATTCCGGTACAATTCCGACAATGGCGGACGAAGCGAGGCTTACCGAACGTCGGCTGTAGTACGATGGTGGGTTGGTTTTACCGGGGCTGGTATAGCGGTTTGTGGAGATGGCTCCGATGCACAGGGTGCATATATAAAATATTGTATTGGACCTTTGTAACAGAACGGTTACAGGTTAATTGAACTTCTTAGGAGGAAACTTCCTGGAGGCGCTGGAAGGTAGATTGGAAGAAACTTTTTGAGAAAGTCGGATGTCAGAGGGCTTACGGAACAGTCGTAATAAACTTCAAGGAGAGTTGGGAGAAAATCCGGAAGGTAGAGATTTCTGGAGGATATTAGCACAAGTCCTTGAAGTTACACGTTCTATGGATCCAGAAGTTTTCCTGATATTCATAAAATATACCTGGAGAACTCCTCTAAAGTTTCAGTAATATCCTTGAAATGAATTGATCTTTACTGATATACTCTGAGTTTCCCTAAATTTCTATCAATTCTTCTGAATTAAATGGAACTGTCCTGAAAACCATTTAATTTCCTTGAATTTAATTGGACTTGTGAAGTTTCCAAAATACGACTGATGTGTCTTTAATTTTCTGGACATTTGTGAAATTTACGGATTCTAGAAATTTTGGCAGAAATTAATCAAACTGTCTTTAATTTATGGAAACTTACGATTACAGATATTTAAACTTACACACATAGAAACGATTACCGACTTCGGTAGTTGTTACCGAACTTTAAACACCTGAACGTTCGTTAAAACTTTGACCCTCGTTGCAAAAGCTGTTTCACTAAATTTTAATTTCAACACACTGTCAGCTTTATTTAAATAATCGAGTCTTGCCATTGTGGTGAAGTTTTCCTTGTTTTGAAGCCTTGAAATTAATGAATTAAAATGCCTGATTTTTATCGAACAGTTCAGCTGTTGAAACTTTGGTAAAAATTACAGAAGTCGGTAATATTTTCTAAGTGTGTACCCAAAACTTTGGATATTTCTAAAGCTTCAGAACTCCTTAAAAAATTCGGTAGCTTTCCTGAAGCAAATGGAACTGAATTAAAACTCTGGAAGCATCGCTGGAGTTCCGGGGAAGTTGAAAAAAAATTTGACGGGAGAAGACGGAAGATATTTTAAAAGATTAGAGTCTCTCACAATAGTTTCCCTTGACAGTTTAGCGTGGTTAGAAAATACACATTTTGATTAAAGTAATCGGTATAAATCGGTTTAAAATGTAAAAAACCGGCATTCTGAGAAACCTTATGTGTACATCGGTATCAAGTTCAAAAATCGGTATAAATACCGATAAATCGGTAAATCTGGCAACGCTGATCCAGATGGCGGCGTATAAACAATCGGAGTAGGGAACCTGAATGACACCACGATAGTGGGATGGTCTCTCGACCGGCAAAGAAGTAGAAGTACCCGGTAATGCGGAATCCTTTGCCAGGACAAGATCTAGCAATTGTCCGTTTAGGTTCGGAAAAGTGTTACTTGTTACACGGCTTTAGTAAGTTCAATCCGTCCAAAAGAGCACAGCAAGCCACCGGCATTCGCGATTGCAGTGGGTCAATGAATGGTGTACCGCTGTCG